GAAACGGTTAGAAGAAATAGTTGCAAACGAGCAGCTACGATTAGCGTACTACTACTACTACTAAACTACAATGAGCAACGAGAGTTTTGTGACCGCCGAACTCTGCAGTAACAAGTCTAACAGTAACAAGTCTAACAGTGAACGGTGTATCGGCTGCTGCGAACGAGGCTACGAACAGGTCAGAAATGGCTGCGAACGAGGCTACGAACAAGTACTTAAAGGGTACGATCACCTCAGGTACGGCTGCGAACGGGCCAGGGCGGGCTTTGAACGGGTCAGAAGCGACTGCAAAAAAGGCTGTGATCGAGTCAGGAACGATTTTCGAAATTGTCAAGGACGTGAGTGAACGAAAGAACCCGAAAGAATCCCGAAATAACGAGGCACGAACCCGAAAGAACCCGATAGAATCCCGAAATAACGAGACACGAACCCGAAAGAACTCAAAAGAATCCCGAAATAACGAGGCACGAACCCGAAAGAACCCGAAAGAACCCGAAAGAATCCCGAAATAACGAGGCACGAACCCGAAAGAACTCGAAAGAATCCCGAAATAACCCGAAAGAATCCCGAAAGAATCCCGAAATAACGAGGCACGAACGTGAAAGAACGAGAATGAATAGTGAAAATAACAACGAACAACATAGTTTGAAGAGACGGCAGTTGATAAAGACGAGTTGCATGCGTCAGCGAGAAAAAATTTCTTTCGAAAACATGTCATAGTGCGAGGATACGATGATTTGTGGCAAGCCGACATTGTCGAGATGCGTCCGTACTCCCGTTTCAACAAAGGTTACCACTACATACTCACCGTCATCGATGTGTTGAGCAAGTATGCGTGGACTGTATCACTCAAGAGTAAAGGAGGAAGCGAGACAGCTGACGCAATCGCCGAGATAATTCGAGATAGCAAGAGATGTCCGAAAAACATGCAAACCAATAACGGGAAAAAATTTTACAACGCCGATATGCAACGACTTATGCGAAAACATGACATTAATCATCATTCTACATATTCGGTATTGAAGGCGTCGGTCGTCGAGCGATTCAATCGCACGCTAAAGAACGACATGTGGAAGATGTTTACGCTGAATGGCACTTACAAGTGGTTCGACATGCTGCCACGCTTTGTATCAGATTACAACGGACGCAAGCATCGAACGATTGGTATGAGTCCCGCCGACATTACCTCCGCGATTGCCGAAAGACTCTTGGCTACCGTGTACAATCGTGTAAAAATCGCGGGCCCGGCAAAATTCAAAGTAAGTGATCAAGTACGCATCAGCAAGTACAAACAACTTTTCGAGAAGGGATACACGCCAAATTGGACAACCGAGGTGTTTAAGATTGTTAAAGTGCAGCATACTAAACCCGTAACATATCTACCCGAGGATTATCGCAAGACATCTATTGCTGGAGCGTTTTACGAGCACGAGCTGCATCGCGCAAATTGTCCGGATGTGTACCTCGTGGAGAAAATACTGCGCAAGAGGGGTGACGAGGTTTACGTGAAATGGCTGAGATTCGACAGTTCACACAACTCTTGGATACATAAAAACAATGTTATTTAATGTATTTTATTTAATCATTGTATAACATACTATATATTGTATACCATATATAAAATATATAACAAATATATATAACAAAATATATATATATATATATAATTCTCGTTAATACATCCTTACAATATAATATAAATATAATAAATATAATAAATATTATCCCGATCCATATATCCCGATCATCCCTTTGTTCTTCAACGTGCGATGATGCAATTATTTCCGAAAGATGATCTTCGCCGAAACAATAATACAATACATACGTCGCAAGACATGTCACAACCTGCAAAGACATGTCGCGAGGTCGCAAGCAGCGAAGACGCAAGCGGCGACACGTTCGCACCTTGCTGATATTTTTTAGAAATATACGTATCAACCCGCTTGATTGTCGGCGCTCGATCCAAGCCTGGATTCTGCGGCAGCCATTAATAATTCGCAGAATTTTTACCTTATCTTATCTATCAGAGAAAATTTAGATGAAGAAACGCAACTCCCTTAGTAATAGATATCTGAATGTCGGCGCTTACCAAAGAATCGGCGGCAGCCATTCGCAGAATTTTTACTTTATATTGGGTATTAGATATCGCTGGATTTTCAGAAAAAATTTAAATATCTAATTGTCGGCACTCACCAAAGAATCGGCGGCAGCCATTAATAATTCGCAGAATTTGATTAACCAGAATTTTTTACCTTATCTTATCTTGTAATAAATATCTTGCAAATTGTTATGTCTTGAGGTGGCGGGGTAAGACTATACACCGTTACACGCCGATACATCGACTCGTTTTGGTGACAGCTCAGCGGCAACTGCCTTATGCTGGTTATTCGAGGTGTAGGATAACAACAACGTCGATCACCTTGTCACTTCGTTGTGTGTGTAGAGCTTTTAAAAATACGTTGAATCCTTATTCTAATCTAATCTTCTTCTAATGTAATACTTTTCGTATTTCAAATGTTGTAGTAATTATTCTGTAAGAGCTTTGACATTATTTCTAAATGGACATCGAGAAACATCATAGTTTTTTGAGAGCAGGCCGCCATGTTATTTTTCTGAGTCATTAACAAATTGGTACTCTGGAATTACGAGCAATTATTTTTCATTGTACGGGCTAGTATGAATTTCAAATCAAATCTCTATATACGACTATTATATTTTGTGCACTAAGAATAACATATCGCACTTATTTTCTAGAATCAAATTGTAATCAGTTTTACTTATATGTATGTATATTCAATGTGAACTTGCACCTTGAATAAAATATCACAGTTACTTTTCATGGTAATATATTATTACTAAATTTAGATAATATACACTTTACGTATGTTCACTTTGAACTGGCACCTTGAATAACATATCAGTTACTTTTCGTGATAATTTATTATTAGATCGTTTAAATTTTTGAGTACCTTCTTTTGAACATGGCCTGACCTTTTCATTTTTATGATTTTTTTAGGATATATATATATACATATATATAATATTGGCATATTATATACCTACATACTTATATATATATGTAGAAATAATAATAAAAAATAATAAATAATAATAAATAAATTAAAAAATAAGAAAAAATAATAAATAATAAAATAATAAAATAAAATAAAATAATAAATAATAAAATAATAAAATAATAAAATAATAAATAATAAAATAATAAAATAAAATAAAATAATAAATAGTAAAATAAAATAAAATAATAATTATATATAATATAAGTTGTAGAAATCTATACTTATAGAATAGAATATTGTTGTTTCACATTGTGTGAGCAGATAGCATGGATGGCATATTATATATATATATATATATATATATATATATAATATGCCATCCGTGCTATCTCACACAATGTGAAATAACAATATTCTATTTTATAAGTAGAGATTTCTACAACTTATCTCTCGGCAGGTGTTGTTATGAAATAAAATAATTCTTTTATATTTTTTTATTTTGTCTAAAATATATTTTGTCAATTTTACAAAATACATTTGATCATATGAAACTTATAAGATATATTATTATACTATTTAATACCATATAAAAATAAAAAAGAACATATTTAACCATATTGTCATCAATTATACATAAATAAAAAAAAAGTGTGACTAATATGTAAAAAATAAAATGAAAAAAATGTTATAAAATAAAAAAATCTAGGCGGGCATATATCCTGGTGCTGCCGGCGGTGCGGATATATATCCTGGTGCTGCCGGCGGTGCGGACATGTATCCTGGTGCTGCCGGCGGTGCGGGCACGTATCCTGGTGCTGCCGGCGGTGCGGGCACGTATCCTGGTGCTGCCGGCAGTGCGGGCACGTATCCTGGTGCTGCCGGCGGTGCGGACATGTATCCTGGTGCTGCCGGCGGTGCAGATATATATCCTGGTGCTGTCGGCGGTGCATATATATATCCTGGTGCTGCCGGCGGTGCGGATATATATCCTGGTGCTGTCGGCGGTGCATATATATATCCTGGTGCTGTCGGCGGTGCATATATATATCCTGGTGCTGCTGGCGGTATACAGGGTTTGTCCGGAAAGTAATGCGTCGCATTTTTTTAAAAAAGAATTTATTGATCGCATAGGTAAAACAACTTAAAATTGTTCGAAGTATGACCCTTCTGCGTCAATACATTTTTGCCAACGCGATTTCCATGCGTCATAAGATTTCTGGAACTCCTTGACTGGGATGCTGTTCAGGGAGGCCGTCGAAGTAGCTTGTACGTTGTCAACCGACTCGAGCTGTTGTCCTTTGAGCTCCCTTTTCAGCCGAGGAAATAAAAAAAAGTCCGCCGGAAATTGGGATTATCTGCACAGAGTTGCTTGAGTTCTTCACAAACTTCCACTCGGTGTTGCTTTTGCGCATCGGTCAACACTCTGGGCACAAGTTTTGCGCAAATCTTCCGCATGGCCAAGTCTTCCGATACAATCTCGTGAACAATCGTTTTCGGCAAGTTCAATAATTCCGACATTAAGCGAACATTCATTCGACGGTCTGAATTCAATAATTGGCGCACACGAGTCACATTGTCGTCCGTTCGCGATGTTGACGGGCGTCCTGCGCGGGCCTCGTCGGCGACCTCCTTCCGACCTTCTCTAAACATCTTGTGCCATCTGTTTGACTGCGATTTGGAAAGGCAATCGTCCCCGAAAACTTTCTTGAGCATTTCAAAAGTTTCCAGCGGCGTCTTGTCCAGCTTCACGCAAAACTTTATCGCATAGCGTTGCTCTATCGTTCTCTCCATCACAAGTTCGACGCGACCACTAAGCAGAGGTTCACAGAATAAGCCGTCCTAACCCTCCAAGCGCATGGAAACAATTGAGCGACCTACCGTTGGAAAGCTAAGGGTACCCCCCTTCCTCCCCAACCGGTCCCATCGCTCTGCGATGTATAGTCGCGTCACAAAAAAATGCGACGCATTACTTTCCGGACAAACCCTGTATATCCTGATGCTGTCGGCGGCGCAAGCACGTATCCTGGTGCTGCAGGAGTATGAAGGCGGCGATCGGCGTATTTTCTTTGGCGCGCCCGCTCCTTGTTCACCGCCTTACGAACCGCGGTGTTAATTCGCTGCAAAAAAAAAGAAATTTTATATTTACATATATATATATTTATATACAGGTATGTATAGATATACAGGGTCCCAGAACTGGCGAAAAAGTTTATGGCAGATTCCTAGTATCATTTGAAGACGATTTTTCCTGAGTGATATATATATATATATAGTATATATATATGTTCCTGTCTCTCTGTCTCTTCTTTCTTTTCTACATTGCATTCTTTCATACATGCACACGTATATAATAATAAATATTTTCTACATTACATAAATAAAAATAATTACATACATATATATATACATACATGTATGTAATTATTTTTATTTATGTAATGTAAAAAATATTTTTTATTATACAGGGTGATTCAGGAGGAAAGGTAAAGATTTTAGTGGGTGATAGTATAGGCAAATGCGAACAAAAAATGTCCTATTAACATGTGTCTTATTTTTATAATTATGAATACTGCTGCTCTCATAAAAGAACGTCAAGATGACCTCAGAAGAGCTACACGTAGTACAGTCAAAAGAATTAGAAAGTGTATTGAAGTCGGAGGTGGCATTTTTGAAAATCAACTTTGAACTTAGTCATTTGCGTCTACTTTTGTTTGTGCCTTTGACTTTTTTCTGCTGTGAGTGGTTTATTGTAACCAATAAAAATAAGACACATGTTAATAGAACATTTTTGTTCGCATTTGCCTATACTATCACCCACTAAAATCTTTACCTTTCCTCCTGAATCACCTTGTATACGTGTGCATGTATGAAAAAATGCAATGTAGAAAAGAAAGAAGAGACAGACAAAAACACACAGAGATGTGTGTGTGTAAATATACATACACAGGGTGTACAGAAAAGATCGGATATATACATACATACATACATACCTATCGTTTTATTTAGCTATGTGCCTGTCTATCTATCTATCTATCTATCTATCTATCTATCTATCTATCTATCTATCTATCTATCTATCTATCTATCTATCCATCTATCCATCTATCCATCTATCCATCTATCCATCTATCCATCTATCCATCTATCTATCTATCTATCTATCTATCATATATATATATATGTGTGTGTGCGTGCGTGCGTGCGTGCGTGCGTGCGTGCGTGTGTGTAAAAAAATATTACATATAATAGTACCTGTCTTACTGTTTGCGCTGGCAGCGGGGTCATCGCCATCCTCGCGTCCGCTGGCAGCGGGGTCATCGCCATCCTCGCGACCGCTGGCAGCGGGGTCATCATCATCCTCGCGTCCGCTGGCAGCGGGGCCATCATCATTCTCGCGTCCGCTAGCAGCGGAGTCATCATCATCCTCGCGTCCGCTAGCAGCGGCGCCGTCGCCGTCCTCGCGTCCGCTAGCAGCGGCGTCGTCGCCGTCCTCGCATCCGCTGGCAGCGGCGTCGTCACCGTCCTCGCATCCGCTGGCAGCGGCGTCGTCGCCGTCCTCGCGTCCGCTGGCAGCGGGGTCATCATCATCCTCGCGTCCGCTGGCAGCGGGGCCATCATCATTCTCGCGTCCGCTGGCAGCGGAGTCATCATCATCCTCGCGTCCGCTAGCAGCGGCGCCGTCGCTGTCCTCGCGTCCGCTAGCAGCGGCGTCGTCGCCGTCCTCGCATCCGCTGGCAGCGGCGTCGTCGCCGTCCTCGCATCCGCTGGCAGCGGCGTCGTCGCCGTCCTCGCCTTCGCTGGCAGCGGCGCCGTCGCCGTCCTCGCGTCCGCTGGCAGCGGCGCCGTCGCCGTCTTCGCGTCCACCGTCTTCCTCTTCGGGATGACGTATCCTTCACTTCTTGCTAAAATAGATAAAAAAAATTATTAGATAAAAAAGGGAGAGAGAGAGAGAGAGAGATATTATATGAAATACTTACGTCGCGGCATCTTGGTTCCTCTATCTTCGGCGACGAAAAGTGGACTGCTCATCTCCCGAGTTCGTGCGTTGTTGCCGCGCGGCTGATTGTTATTTGTTTGCAAATAAGATGTTGCCGCACGGCGCGCACACACACACACACATATTGAATGTTACTTTTTTTTCTTTCCTGTGTCTTTCGCTTTCGCTTTGAAAGATTGCAGGAGAATTTTTATTTATACAAGGGCGTTCCTAGGGTACTTGGCGCCGGGGTCATCGGGGTGCCACACTAAATTTGCCGCCTCTACTTATATCTTTTTATATTCTTATATATTTCGATTTAAAAGGACTCAATAAAAAAGTTTTTTTAATAAACAATTTTCTAAGAGGTAGGACTTGTTTTTGAAAAAATTTTCATGAGTGTGCCGCCCCCGTGGCGCCCGTGTGCCCTGCACTCTTTGCACACCCGGGTTGGAACGCCCCTGTATTTATATATAATTATATATACATTTATAATTATATATGATTATATATAATTATATATAATAATTATATATAATCATATATAATTATAAATGTATATAATAAAAAAAAAACATGTTTGATATATTACACAAAAAAAAAGTTTTTCTCGGTCTTGAACCCTAGTTCGCACGGTGGTAATCCCACGCTCTAAATTGACGCCACGGAATTCATATTATCAATATAGATTTTTATGACATATTTGAATTAAAAAGAAATAATTTTTAGAAAAAATATTATTCATCTACTTATTTCAAAAAGATAAGATACAAAATAAAACTACTTTTATCTTTTGGAAATAAGTGGATGGTGTATATATTTTTCTATGTAAAGAAACGTAAAACAATTTGTAGTATTATTTTGCTATCCAACGGTTATCCTCTTGATCTAATTTTCACAGAAATAAAACGCAGATTAAAAAATCTCTCAACTAAGAAATTTAACAAGCCTAATAATAACAATATAACAGATACTAATAATACTAATACTAACATTAAATATTTTGTCATACCATATATAGAATCAATATCTGAGAAAGTTGCTTCAGCAATAAGAAGACCTGACGTAGTGGTAGGATATCGTTGCATTAAAAAATTGAATGACTTCATAAAAGTTCAAAAGGACAGAAATAATTGCCCCACGAATTCTAACGTTATTTATAAATTGAATTGCAACGATTGTGACGCCACATATGTCGGACAGACAAAAAGACAGTTAGGAACGAGACTTAAAGAACATAAAAATAATATTAAATTAGACTCTGCTAGACATTCGGTTGTCACGGAACACATTCTAAACGAACAACATACATTTGACTGGGACAATATTAAAATTATGGATCATGAAAAGAATTACCATAAAAGACTAATATCTGAAATGATCCACATTAAAGAACAGAAAAATGGAATTAATTTAAATAAAGACACCGAATTGTTAGACAGTAGTTATTTTGACATACTTAAAAAATTTGCTGAATCATAATTTAGAAAAAACATTGGTAATTAATAAATACATCACGCTCTCTATTTGACATTTGTTATTCAGACTTCGCAACACACACTTGAAATATCGGGAAAAAGGACTTGTTAAAACGATAATGTAAGTTGAAAGATTTTTAATTTTCTCTGACATTGATTTAATTCGCGTATTATATCCGCAGCATGTTTAAATGTCGCATAACTTGGCATCTCAGACCAATCGCCTTGCATATCTATTGGTCAACAGCGAAGAATCGTTTTAATTTTATATTTTAATATTTAACTAACTTTGTATTTTTAACATTTAACTTTGTATTTTAATATTTAACTTTTATGTATTGATAAAGACTGTAGTGCAGTCGAAACGTTTACAATTTATATCGATTCTGTAACGGAATGTTAATTTAATTATTTAACTATTAATAAAAAATTTTTACACCTTATTTATTTGCTCGTTCAGTTGGCCTACTATATTTGATTTGTTCAATTTGTTAATTTATACGAGCCTTTTATTAATTAACTTTGATATGTTGTTTCCATAAAACAAAAACAAACAGAAAATTTTCAATTTCCTACAGTACTACGTGCCATGATTACTAAAGAACTTTTTGCGGGTTTATGTGATTTTTCATTACCCATATCTTCAAAACCAATAATCTCATCTTCTGATATATTATAAAATAAATGAGCTTTTAAACTCATCTCATTAACATACAATATACAATATAACAACACGGATGCTCGTGCCTCTCATGTTGACTGAGGCCGGTTTGGAGGTCGAAAGACCTCGGACAGTGCTCGCACCGGTATGGTCTAGCTGGACTGCCGTTTCCCCTTTTGCACTTGGCGTAATGGCAGCGTCATGCATGTATCTTGGGGAAACGTTTGGAGCATTTTTCACATATCCAAGTGACCTGCAACATTGGGTGCTCTTTTTGATATGCAGACTTAGCTGCTTGGAGCCTATACAGCTGATGTTCGAGCCAAGCTCCGAACACTTGGGGCAGCATAAAATGCTTCTATACTTCCTTGGATGTCGTAAATTATTTTTGCCCTAATGGGTCTCAGGTCCCATCGCCCGTCCAACGACGCCCCTGGGACTCGGGCGCCGCTCGCGCTTCTTCATCTGTTTGCCACTTAGGCAGCGTCCGCCACGCCAGAAGCGTTCTCGGGGTCGTCCGCCTCCGAGGTTTTCTCCTTGACGCTATCCATAATTGCTCCTTAGTAGAGCGTTGTCTAGAGCCAAGACGACGATCAGGCATTTATAGGCTGCTTCTCACCCCGACGGTTTTAGGTTTGTATGCGGCGTGTTGCTTTTAAAAACCGCAAAAGCACCAAGTTCATTTGCGGCGTGTTGCTTTTAAAAGCCGCAAAAATTTCAAAGTCATTCGCCGCTCAAGGTCAAGTGCCGCTTAAAGTTGCCGCAGAAAAATAATGAGAGCACTCTAGGCTGCTCCTGACCCCTACGATCTTGTCGGAAGCTGGTGCTTTAAGGAGCGAATACGAGCTGCGGGTATAACTCTCTTACGAGAAATAATAAGAATACTTTTAAGTCAGCTCTTTAATTTTAAAACCACAATCTACACTTCATTTCTCTCGACCAATAGAGCCAAACGCGATGTTATTACGACAATTAAGAAAGGAAGAAAATTTGGAAACTAAGGAATTTGAATTCTCAGATTGGGATCTCAAAAATTCCCCTTGTTCCTTCTCTCAACATCCCTTTTAACATCTCTTACGATAGTTCGCAGTTCCACTTTTTCACAGACAAGTTGTTCACCCAGGTCGGCAAAGCCGTGATTTCCATTCTTCGCTCACATCGCAGGCTGGTGTTCGCCAATACAGCAGAGAAGGCTTAGTATCCACTAGGACCAAACCAGCTGTACCATCACTTAGTCGACACCTACCGAATCTAAATTTTCAAGGTAGGCTGTTTTCGGGAGCACCACAAGGAGGTGGAGGTACAACTTGAACGTGAGTAGCTGAAGGTCCTTACAAGAGGACTGAGACGCATCACGAACCAATCACGACTCCCTCTAAGTACCATCGCGGCGTGTTGCTTTGAGGACCGAGAGAGTTATAGTTACTCCCGTACGGCAAACCGGGCTCGTGCGACGACCGGCCCGAGGACCGGCCGCCGAGTAGGGTCACAGTGTTTTGAGCCTTTCGACTCACGAGACTCCAAGAGACAACATTGCCACCTTCGACTAGAGAGGATACGGCCTTAGAGGCGTTCAGGCATAATCCCACGGATGGTAGCTTCGCACCACCAGCCGCTCGACCGAGTGCGTGAACCAAATGTCCGAACCTATGGTTCCTCTCGTACTGAGCAGAATTACTATCGCAATGTCTAGTCATCAGTAGGGTAAAACAACTGTCTCACGACCGGTCTAAACCCAGCTCACGTTCCCTGTTGGCGGGTAAACAATCTGACGCTTGGCGAATTCTGCTTTGCAATGATAGGAAGAGCCGACATCGAAGGATCAAAAAGCGACGTCGCTATGAACGCTTGGCCGCCACAAGCCAATTATTCCTGTGGTAACTTTTCTGACACCTCTTGCTGAAAACTCTTCAAGCCAAAAGGATCGATAGGCCGTGCTTTCGCAGTCTCTATCCGTACTGAACATCGAGATCAAGCCAGCTTTTGCCCTTTTGCTCTACGGGAGGTTTCTGTCCTCGCTGAGCTGGCCTTAGGACACCTGCGTTATTCTTTGACAGATGTACCGCCTAGTCAAACTCCCCGCTTGGCAGTGTCCTCGAATCGGATCACGCGGGAGTATTAACGGCGATCGGCCGAGGCCTCACGCCACTCTGACACGCTTGGCTCTAGAACACCGTGACCGCCAGGGCGCGAAGCCCTCGGGGCACGCGCTCCGCCTAACCGAGTAAGTAAGGAAACGATGAAAGTAGTGGTATTTCACCGGCGATGTTGCCATCTCCCACTTATGCTACACCTTTCATGTCTCCTTACAGTGCCAGACTAGAGTCAAGCTCAACAGG